AAAAATATCCCATGTACAGGTGTATTTATTTAATCTTCTTTGCAGAGTGGCAGGACACCCCCTGGCCCAAAATGAGCGCTGCCTTCACATGTTCTTACAAGATGAGACTGTTGACAAAAGCTACACCCCCTCCAAAATCAGACAAGCTTGAATGCAGTGGCCAGGCAGATGTCGCAGCCCCTGATTTTGTCACCCCAAGTTCAGCTCCACAGGTTAATTTTAAGCTTCTGCCAAAAGTTTTTACTTGATCATCTGTTGTGTTTTTTTTAAATCACTTCTGCTTTATTAACAAAATTTGATTCCCCCCCCCACCACCACCTGTTGATTTGGAGAAAACCCTACAACTATTAATAGCAATTAATTGTTCTTATCTTTGTTTTTGATTAGTTGGTGAGGTGTCTCTAACATGAGTTTCTGGATCTGTCCATCGCATAAAATCATGCCAACTAATTATATAAAACTTAAAAGAATAACACAGAATGCAATATGGTATGAAAACCAAATGCACAGTTAATAATCTTGCATCTGACTTCTCAAATGTGTAAAAGTTGCCCAGAACTTCCTTAAAGCTTGAATCTATTTTGTTATCACAGTAAAGAAAGGGGAATAGCATTTATACCATGTACATTTACAGTTTGTATACTGCTACGCTGTTTTGTTTACTTAAATTTCCAATAAAATAGTCAAATACACTTGTACGCATGAGGAATGTGTGGCTATGCGGTGCTTTTATCGATGGTACCATTTTGACTGTAGCCAAGGGTGTAACTTTGGCTGGAACATTGGGGGGGGGGGTTGAGGTCTCCATCCATTACGGGGGAAACATGATTGTTGGGGGGGGTTGTATTAGCTGGTTTTGATTTATTGGGGGGGGGGGCTACAATCCCCCCATTCCCCCGGTAATTTACGCCCATGACTGTAGCATGTTGTGTGCTGCAGTAATTGGCCTTCATATACCTCCCAACATTTTAACACATTCCCACTATCTAGTATTTGTAAGCAAAATTTGTATTGTTACAATGCCGTTTCCAAAAAAAATCTCTAGTATGACAACTGAATGAATGTACCGGCCACTTGGCTTTATCATTGCACTAATAGGTGCCTGGTTCGTTTGTAACCTGTTAGCGTGTCCGGCAGCCGCTTCTTTACATGTTGCTATGTGCTAAATAGGCTAATTTGTGTTTTATCTGGTTCAATGTTGCGCACTTCCTATGAATTGCCTTCAAAACTGAACAGTCATCCTCTTGAGCTAACATGCTCACTCCCCCGGTTGCTGTTCCGTCAAACTAAGGATTTTGAAAATATAATTTGAGCAAAGTCCTTGATTTATTAAAACATACGCGCACTTGGAACCACCTGGAGAGAGAAGGCCAGAACGTCCCCCCCTCCAAGGCCCAAGTTATTGAGTTGGAGATGCCGCAATATGCCTTTCAGGCAAACAAGCCCTGGACATCAGTACTTACAAGAGTTTCAGTAAATCTTTGGATCGTTTCACAATTTCAAATACATTGCATCTGTATTAACAATGACAGAAACGACTAACATCAGTCATTTTAGACCTTTGCAGAGCATGGACAGTGAGGTCAGATGGGTATTCCAATATCATTTATTCTAATAATATATATCAGTACAACTTTCACAAATTTACACTCCACTCTGTACACCGAAAAAATATTTACATCCTACAAAAAAGAAACCCAAGTGCTTAAAGTTGTGTTAGTGTCTACGTCACAACGTAATTTTTTTTTTTTATATAGCGTTGCCACCCACACACGCACAAAACGTAAAATGCTACGCTTAATATGAAAGTTGCTTCTATGTGTTTCCCATAGCAGCCTAAAAGTTTGTGTTTACAACTTTTAAAACCAACAGCTTTGACGAAAATAAAAAAAAAAGCTTTCCTAAGCTCAAAAGTCATGCCAGACGTGCCCTTGGCACCCAGGAGACTTAGCCGTGCCCCGCCTGGGTCGGTCGCTTCTACCGTGGGTTACAGCACCAAGATGCCGCGGCCTTTGGTTTCAGCACTGCGTCAAGGACAGCGACCATTTCTCCCGGCCGCAACTTCACGTATATTATTTTTTCCATTTTTTTTTTTTTGGTTACCTCTGCTGCAACTACTCGTCGCAAAGGGACATCAATCATAAAGCTCATTGATCACTGAAGCACTGGATCTCTGATAGAGCACTTTCATGTAAAATCGATCTCTGGGTACTTATTCGCTCGCGTGTAAACTGGAGGCGCATTTAAACCATAAATTATAATTGCCTTTATACAAACAAAAATCAAATTTCTAATGGAACCGCTATTTGGGGAGTATCTTCCCTCATCCGTCCGCACCTCCTCTTGTGTATGCTTTCTTTTCTTATTAAAAGCCAGGATTGCAATTCTTTGGGCATCTCGACTTGGCACTTTGTCACGCGGTCATGTAAGGGGTTCGCCAATCGTAAGCATCTTGGATCGTCTCCTTGTGCTTTTATATGTCACTGGATTTGTACATATCTGAGAGAAGCCTGGTGATGGGAACATTGCCAATAGTTTTCTTGAAGAACACCTCTTCTATTGTCGACGGACTCACGGAGCGCAACGCCGGCAGAAGCAGGAGCAGCTTCCCAAAGCGGCATGGTTGTGTGGGATACCTATTAACGACAGAGACCAAGAAGGCATATTTCAACAGGTAGGACTGTAATTAGGGAGATAAAGTAGCCACAAGGCTGCCAGTATAACACCACGGAGAGGTACCCCCGTCATGCACTTGAGCACACACTTAAAGCTAAATTGCTTCCGTAAAATATCCTGCTGTAGAATAAATGGAAGAGTATTATTAAAGTATAAGTGTTTTACTTACATTTAACGACGTTTAAGAACATTGTGCATGCTTTTATGGTTCGGCGGCCCTGCACGTGAGCTTACCTCGTATGTATGTAACTGTTCAGCGTGAGCTGCGCCTCATCCTGTAATGCAGCTATGGCGGTGGCATTGCGGAAGTTTCTCAACTCTGATCCACTGTGAGTGGGTACTAACAAAACAAAAAAAAGCATTGATTTGGAGGGAAAAGTGTAAACACGATGCGCCCTTTACTCAGTGTTACGACTTGTGTATATAATACAGCAACGCGCAACATTATAATAATGAATGCTTTGCATCCCAAGTTAAACCTGACGCGTACTTCTTGGAAAAAATCCCCTATTAACGCAAGACGACGCATATTCATTGTACTGCCTTTTCTAGAATGGCTGTGTGAAATTAAGGTAATTAAGATTTTAATATTTTTAATATATGCCTAATAAAAACATTGTTTCTTCTACTCCTTATTCTTCTGGCGCCTAACCAATGGCGTAATAGAAAGTTTGGAACTGAGGGGAACAACTTAATAATTGAAATAGCCTACAAATGTCTGTCTGTTGGGTGGGGTGGGGGGTGAAGCCAAATTAAATATTGAGCGGTACACGCCCCCATCCTCCGCGATTCCTACACACGTAGGCCTAATTCACCTTTTATATGCACATCTATGTCTACATTTCTTTACTCTTTCTGAGAGTTTGTTTGTGGCATTAAGTGTCTTACCATCGGCTGCTCACCTGCTTTAAATGTCACGATGCACTTCAAGCAAGCAAATTCAGTGGCGTCAAGTCGAAGCTGCCGGAATCGGGTTACAACTTCTTGAAGAGCTTGAATTTCCGAAATGATTTTATTAAGCCGCTGAGATTCCGTATTTTCTGTGTTTATGCCTTTGAATACAATGCAGATACAACACTTATTTTACCATCTGCGTGTCTCCCGGTACGTTTTGCCGTACTTTATTTGACATTTGCGGGAAATTTTATTTTCTGTAAATCTGTGATAGAATCACCTTCAGAAGTATTTTGCTTTTACGTACCGGAAACAGCAAGAAGGGTGTTTGAATCTACTGGAATAGCCCACTGTGCGATACCAAGAACAAACAGTTCTCGCCAGGCATCTTCTAATAGGATTAACTGTAATACAGATTATAAGGTTAGTACCGATAAAGAGTGCTACATACAGGGTTTAATTCTGGATTGGATTAGTGAAATTTATTACGTATACACATATGAATATAAAAAAGAATTACCAATGGCAGGCCTATGATGTTCTTGGAGTTATATACATATGTATCTACCAAGTAAAGAATATCTTTTAAATAGTCAGCTTTTAAATATTTTGTTTTCTCACCTGGTCAGGTAGAGGGAGTGTGGAAAAGGCCGGGACACTCTTGGCCCATTTGATGCTCATGAAAAGCAGGCGAGCCGCTGACTCACACACGGACTCCGTCGCCACCTCGTATAGATACATGGGTGTCCCGCTGACCTCATGTGGGTACTGGAAAGAAACGGCAAAGCTATACTCTGTGCCAGCGATCGGGATGTTGGTTACGGCTAAGATCTATATAGCGACAGTCCTGCAGTCATCGTTCATGAAAACATTCACTACCGAACTGTGCGCTTACATGAGAAGATTGACTATACATATTGCAACTATTTATAGCCCACGCTATATTGTGGTAAAATGAGAAGCGCAAAAGATAAACTTATCTTCTTGAATAAAAAGCCTTTTCTGTGTTATAATATGTAAAAATGCAAAACTGGTGATGTATAGTATCATGCCCTCTGAGGACCTTAACTATTATGAACGCCACATGTTGGAAATTTCAAGTGCCGTTTTGTTAATTCGAAGTCGCGCGTGCATTGGGAATAGGCTGTACCTTGGGGGTGGGCTGTGCGAGGCCCACGATGGCCTGCCGCTCCGGGGTACCGGACACCGCGCTCAGCTCCAGGCTGTGAGGCTCCAGCTGAGTGACGGCGGTGAAGAACGGCGGGCCCGGGATAGACGAGGCCGGAAAGTGATTCGTGGAGCCGTTCACCTCCTTGTGCCCTCGGAAGTAGAGAGCAACTTGCTTCCGTATGGTGGAGGTCCTTGGTCCTCTCTCATGCTGCACCGCTAAATTAAAAGTGCATCAGTGATACAGGTAAATATAACAGTAAAAATAGGCCTACTCCACATATTACACACTTCGTTAAAACGATCATTTTGAACTACTGATCAAAACTGTTGGATATTTCATATTTCTAAAAGGTATTCCACAGAAAAAAGTAAAGATGCGTGATACTAAAATTTCAATAAGAGTAAAATTTTAGAAAGTTGCATAACAAGTTACCGTCTTTATTCATGTTCACTTCCAGGCACTTTTTCAGGCGACAAGCTCGACACTGGTTTCTGTGCGTTTTATCTACTGGACAGCCTCCCTGTTGGTAATTCATGGTGTGTGTTAATCTCGCTTTCATTCATACGGTTAGACATCAGCGTGCTGATAATATGCAGGATATATTCGCTCTTTTTACTGAAATCCCTTTAAGGCCCAAGTATTTCCTTAATATATTTATGTCCTTAAAGCACGCCATGAAAATACTTAGTGGTATATTTAAATAGTTTGATATAGGTCGATTTTAAAGTTAAGGTCATAGAGTGTATAATTTTTACATGTGGTGAAGTTGCGGTCAGAATTAGATATTCAGCAGTAACACGAAAAAGGGCGGTTAAATATCACAACATGAGATATTAAGCGAAATATCGATCAGTCATTTACCTGGTTACCGGATTTACAGACGTAGGACCTATTTCTTCGGATGCTTCTCTTGAAAAATCCCGAACAGCCATCGCAGGCGTAAACTCCGTAATGTTTCCCGGAGCTGCGGTCGCCGCAAACTTTGCATGGAATATCCAAAATGCGACCTTTAAGAAAATCACCAATAAGAAACATTTTATTTGTTTTCCTGCACTTTGCAAGACACTGCTGCAGAGGAATATTTACAAGACAATATATAACATTGATTTATTTAGATATATTCACAGCGGTGTGTATGTGCAGGGATCATGCTGAGTAGATCGACCAAATGAGCTTTCTGTAAATTCTTCGGGAAGGCCCAAGTATCCAGGTTGCCCCCCCCCCTTAAAACGCCAAAGGGAAAAAAGTTTAGCATTTTGCATTTTAATTTGCTGTCCATGGGAATCTGTGGGTTTATGCCCTATTTAATGGGAAGCATCATATTGGAGAACTCTAAGACAATGTTTGAGGGCAGACAATGAAGACATTAGAGAAAGTTTTAACTTAATGATTTTCCCATTGAAACTCGTCCGACTGCCTCGATCTCGACAAGCTGTCAACTCGCTTTATAATGAAACTCGACAGCTGCTTTATACAACAGGTCTATAGGCTAGAGGATTAGGGCTACATAGCAATAGAAATAATACAAACGATCTCGCTCTGGAACCTGAAATGAAGTCTATGTAAATCATCCCTGGAGTAAATTAAAACTGTTTTTCGTTCTTTATTGAAATATGCAAGCTCAAAATGTGTATGTTACACATTAAAGAACGGCTATGTAATTACAGCGACATGCTACCACCTGTGCGTTGATTCGCTCAGCGTCTCATCAAAGAGCGTAGCATGGGAATTTGAATACAGCACGATAGCGAAAGAAAGACTTCGACTTGATCTGTGGATCGAGGGGTTGGATACCTTGGAGTATTCAGGATATGTATTTTAAGTATTGTGGAGACCATTTCAAAGCGAAGTTCTGTGAAGTTTACAAGAAATTGCAGTCTGAGAGCGAAATAACATTCAATGTTGAAAGTTCTGTTATGTACGTTTTTGTTCGTTGTGCTTGTTTTTTAATAGAAAAACTTTAAATATTGTACATATTATTTTACTCATTGGCGATAGACTATATTGGTGATAGTCCACTGCATTTACATTTATAACAGAAGCGAGGGATCATTTTATATTTTCTTTATTTCTGATTAATAAATTTTAATTATACTGGTAAAATAAGATTTCATATGACGATTTCGTTTAATTGTGAATAGTTTAAATAATTTGAAATATTTCGAATTACATCAATATTTTTGATAATTGTATCGTTGCTGTGAATACAACTTAATAATTAAAATGTCATTGGAGTCGACAGGTTGATATTAAAGTATTTAAGATAATAATAATAATAATTATTATTATTATTATTAAGAAGAAGAAGAAAGAGAGAAACACTTTCATGTAATTAAAATGGGAATACTTTTATGTTGCGCCGAAAACCGTGTTTAGATTTTCTCAACAAGTGTCCCTTGAGGCGGCCTGCTGTATTATAAGCAGAAGAAGGCTGCATGGCATGTTTTTTTTTTTATCGCAATTATCATCCACCTGACACACTGCTGAAAAAAACCAGTGCAGTGATTCGAAGGAACGAGCTTTCGTATCACCCTGAAAGTAGAAATAATACTCGTGGGTTTCCTAAGATTAAGTAAAAGTAGGCTACTATAAACGAAGTAACTCATGGCGTATTTTGAGGCCACCAAATTATATCCGCGCGACAACAGGTTTCACAGCTAATTTCGACATACAACGGTACCTATAGAACATACTTAGACTTAATATTCTGATTGTCAGTAATGGTCAGCAGTTACAAAAAAACACAACATGCGTCTATTAATATTGGGTTATTTTTGCGCGCGCGTGTGTGTGTCTGTCTGGCTGCGTTTTGCTGAGTTGCAGCATTTGTACTGTTTTTACACATTATATTGTAAATGCTTCCATAGGGTGTAAGGTGAAAAGCCAGATACTATTTTAAGTTTTAAAGAAGAGTTAGGCGCATGTCTGTCAGTTTGTGATCACATGAATAAGACCCTAAAAAAAGTGCTGGATTTTTAAACGTATAGAGACTATTGAACGTATTAAGCAATAGAATATGTACTTGTTATTGACTGGACAGGTAAATTTAAATGAAAAACTGGAACTTGACAGTGCACGTTGCTCTCAACCCGCCCATTCCTTATAAAAAGTTTAATAAATTGTGTGTAATTTACTTGTTTAACTTAACGAGACAGAAACCACGAAATGAAACAAATTCAAGTTTCAAGTACTAATTACTGGATGATTGCTTATCTATTAATCTACATTACGCATTCATGCGTGAGTATTTCTCTGTAACCAGCAACTTTAATCGAAAACCATTTTGTTTACGCCAGTTTCCGATGTTAGACTAACTACAGTCTAACGAATTACTCAAATGGCCAATTCTCATGGTTTTTTTTTTGCATAAAACGTCGCAAAGTAGCATGTATGTTGGTATGTTTATATTTACAAATCACTAAATATGCACATTATTTCCTTACGACACATCGGTGACACAAAACGGCGTAGAGCATCAAGTAGAGTTGTCATATTAATAAGAGCAAAAGTATGGTTGTCATTAATTAAATATTAGCTAGTCTAAAATAAAAATTATATGTTACGGTTCTTATTTCTTATAAAGTGTCCCACTGCATTTTTCCTGTTTAATACATAGTTAATAACAGTCAGAACTCACAATAAGTAGATAAAGTGAGTAACTGCAAGTCCTATCCAATCTGGAATGTATCATTATTGACACTACCTTTCAGTTAACCGGTTAACAACAAGTCAAGCAAAGCCATACTACTACATTGTCATACGACGGTATAACTGCCACTTACTGGATTTGACATTTAAAATATCTAAACACCCACTTGTTGATCCGGTAGGTTTGCTCATCTTGGACGATCTGCTTCTTATAGTTCTTATAGGCCTATATATATATATATATAATATTTACATATAAATGTTTATTTAAGCGCTGAAGAAGTTGATTTGTAACAATGACTGAAGAAAAAAATAATAATAAAAATATTCCGCTTTGTCCCGGATTAAAATAGTCATAGGGTTAGGAAATGTCCCGTTGCGTCCAGTTCTTTCTCCGGTTGGCAAATTCCTATTATTCAGAAAATTAGTGAATCTAAAACTGCGACAGAAACGGCTGAAGACAGAGCTCGACGCGGTTGTAGAGAAGCTGACACCTTCGATGGGAAAACACAGTCCCCAGAAAGTTGGAGACACTGGCGGAGCAGCACGCCGTAGAGGTACATCTAATCTGGCGAGTCCCAGATAGGCACAGGAAGCAGAAAACGCATTAAATCGATTGATACAATGGCGAAGAATTTCGCTGCCCTGTAGCCGCGGTGACTTCGTGCTGTAAGCAGCCAGATTAAAGCTTAGTAATATTTATGAGAAGTGTTGAGAAAGCAGAGGGAGGAGAACTAAACTTGCTTGTCCACTTAGCTTCCCTCTGCTTTCTCCCCTTACTCCAGTTTAAGCATGACGTCACCGTCCTCCCTCCGGTAGTTCAGATGCCGCTGATATTTCAGAAGCTCCCGGGGGCTTTAACTGTGCACAGAGCGCGCACTGGAGCGACATTACGGTGACAAAAAAAAACCTTCCGCATCTGTTTGCACATTTGCAACGACAGGCCTCCGAATCTATGCTATAGTATTTAAAAATGTTGACGTTTTGCTTGTTCATACGCTTTGAAATACCGATGCCGTTGCGTTTTAAGAATATATTTAAGATAAATTGCGTTTTAATTCTAAAATTAGTGCCTGAAAGTATCTCTGGCTTTGCGATTATAAAGATGAGACCAGCACATATTCAAAAGAATATGTTCTGCAGTCATTCTACATATTTGCTGGCTTTTTGTCCTAATCTGAGTGTTTAGTTGATCCATACCTAACATGTGACGTGAAGGTTTTTTTTTTTTGGAGGAAATTCACTTTTCACCCTGGGAGCGACGTTTCACAGTGGGTGACGATTAGATCCTAATTAGATCCGCCACTGTTATAAACGACAAAACAAGTGGAATCTAAGCCCTTAGCCTTCTTAAATTAATTTGCCAAATTTGACTTAGTCCGTGGGATTGCGCACAAATCCTTCCCTTTTCAAATGGGGTCCTCTGGTTTATAATCAAGTCACAGGTGATCCGCGTTACGTTCCGCTCAGTGAATGCGCTTGTCGGCTTTACCCTTTTGCGGGAGTGTGATATTTAATCCAGTGTAATGCCGCGCACACCTCATGCATCTCATCCAATCGGATGGACCGTATATGGTACAGAAAATATAACTAACAGGTTGTGAACCGCTATGTGAGTCGTAGTTATTTTAGAGATTTAACTGCGCGTTATTTTTGACAGTGAAACTTCGACGGAATGAAGAGGTCAACAATTTATGCAATTGGTTAGAGTAAATCGTTTGAACAGCCTTCACGAGTCGTAAAAAATGTTGTTTTTGGTAGTAGGTCTTAAACAAAAGGTTCAAACCGGGAAAATAGGCTATACTATGCACCAATTCTCTAAACTTCTGCCTTTTGCTAATTGTTCGCTGGGGTGGAAATGTGTCGCGCGGGGATCTCACCCGAAGCTTGCTCCGTGACACTTTGACCTTGATAGCTTGGTGAATTTTTATGCATAAGAAAAATTCATATTTCTCTTTAATTAGGTTCATTCTCACGCACCCGGGGTCCAACGGTCATATAATCGGCAAAGACGGAGGGGACATCTCGCTGATTGTAATTATTTATTTTGTTATGTTTCCTTTTATGTTCTCAATTTATTTCTGAGTCTGGATTTCAGGCGATGTCTGGATGGAATGCAGGCATTGGTCGTGTCTGTACACGTCTTACTAATGAGCTTAATCCTTGCTCGTTGCTATGAAAATCCCTGTAATATTCATTGAATATTATTGCTACATTGAATAGTAATTGCAGATGTTATTTGCTTAAGTAGATAATATAAAATCTCTTTATATTGTTATGTAACACTTGCTGTTTAAATGGAACAAAACTTTTTTTTTCATATAGGCTATGGACTGTACACCAGGCTTCATTCGAAATGATATATATTAAAAGTGAAATATGCTTTATCACAAGGTCTGAGAAAACGTTAGATATTTCTTATACTTTACACACATATGGCAAAAACAGTTTTTACCAACCTGCTTTAGGTGCAGTTTAGTGCAACAATTAAATCACATAAATGCAAAAATATATTATTGGCATATTGCCGCAAATGACATGGGCGTCGTTAAATAATACATCGATTACATCAAGCGCACTTTGCTTCAACCGTTTTGGTTATATGCTCACTGAGGAAAAACTCTCAGGAAATTAGATAGTCATTGTAGAACACCCATTAAGACTGTGAACTTAGTTCATTGCTATTATGGGTAAAATGAAAACGAGTCATGGATAACTGTACCTGTTTAAAAACAAATAAATAAATGAGAGGGCCAGATTTCGTTTATCCTGATCACATTACGTTACCTGAACCAGTTTAACCGGGTGCGGGGGGCGGATGGCTGGTCCTGGTGCCATCGTACGAGTACAGTTTGTGTAGATGTAATAATGACTAACCCCTCCACGTTTAGTCGTCAAAAAGGTCGTCATTTCGAACAGTAATGTATAGACATGTAGTAGTGAAAACGGCGGTGCATTTCGACACACCCCCACTAAGAGGGGAATGCTGATTTGTATAGGTATATCTTGAATGTGTGTTTTCTGTGACATAAGACAAGATGGGTAGAAATTTCAATGTGAAAATGAAACTAAGAATTTATTAGATATTGATGATGATCATTATTCTCATATTATATATAAAGAGAGATACAGATATATACGGACATATATTCATGTATATATATAGGCCTACAGCCATATATATATACACAAACGTTTGTAAGAAATTATTGAAATTCAGTAAGAGCTCAAACCGCGTTAGTCGTATGCGTGTTTTAGTATAAATTGATTACGTGAGTATGATCTAAGAGCAAGAAAGCTATTACTTTAAATGGTTTTAGTAAATGCGCAATTAAAATATGAATAGTCAATCTGTGAGTAGGGACATAATGCTGCCTAGTTGCCATAAAACTGGTTATAATATATAAGTATAATTTAGCATATATATTATATGCAAGGGTTGATTTGTTTAGAAATAATTTTCTTTAAACTGATTTTAACTTGGGCCAATTCAGTTAACCACTAAGTCAGGCTTATAGACGGAACATCTCGTCATATAATTAATCTGTTTGTACGTGTCATTATCGATGTAGGGTGAAATATGTTCAGTACCGCGGACAGCTCTTAAAGTTCCAGTACAAATGAATAAAACAATCGACATGGGGCGCGTTTCCCAAAAGCGCAGATGCTAACCACGTTAGCCACTTACATAGTCGGGGACATGCAGCTGAATGGGTCCAACTATAAGTAGCTAACATTAGCTTTCATGAAACGTACGTCCGATCAAAAATATTGCAGGGAAAACTGACACCCTTTAAACGTTGCTTACTATAACAGTAACGTGAAAATAATTTCCTTGCTGGGAGGCCTGCACTCAGTTCCTCATTAAGTTTGTCTAATTGGCTAAATTTCCCGTTTGAAATTTAAACCCGGTTACTAAGATAGTTGGAAAGAATACATATTGATACCTGCTATTTCCTAGTTGAATTCCCTTTAATAAACTCATATTTATTTTAATATTTTATCAATTAGTTACAAAAGTTGCCTTCCTCCAACCTAATTTATGTAGCTAACTGTACTGAGACTCTTCTGTAGCATTAGCTACTGCATGCTGTAATTCAAGTAAGGCTCCTTTTATGGGTGCGAAAGCAAGGCCTCTTCAGGTGCTTGAGCACCCCTTCAACACCCCCCATTCAGCAGCATCCCCACTTTTCTGATCAGATGTCCACTGCATTGCCCACTGGCCTCTAGTCACCCAGCAAACCCAGTGCTAAGAGTGCATGTTGTAATCGCTCATTTTTACCTCCGGCCTGGTTTTGTTGTACTTCAACCATGTGAAACAGCGTGAGAGGTGTTTGATTCATGTGTACTTGTCACCATTACCCTGCTATTCATTTAAACTGTTCATCATTTTTATGTTATTATATTATTTTCATTTATCCAACAGAATCACTTTGGGTTCAGTATATTTTTTACTGTTGGTTAAAGTTTCACAGTTTCTTTTCTGCTAAGAACATTGTTCATATCATATATATGTTAGAATGTGATTAAAGTCATTAATGACATAGGAGAATCACAAACCAATGGTAATAGCATATTTCCAGAAGAACTGATCTAACTGATTACAATTATTGGACAATTTTTCTTTTGCCATTCCTCACAATCACTGTTCTTGTGCTATTTAGGATAAGTTGTTTTTAAATGTAGTCGGATGCCTGGAAATATTAAAAAGCGTGTGACATATTTTACACCTGGGCTTCAAATTCTGGAACAGATTAAGCGACATATAACACTGGGAAGTCCCATCACCTTCAGGATTAACCCGCCGTGAGGATGTATACCACCCAGCACATAAAAATTCTCTAGATCTACAGCAGGACAACACTCACAGAAAATGCCTTCTAAGCTCAAAGGCTTCACCTATAACGGTCTTTAATCCAGGCTTAAAGTAAAATGGTCTTTAAGGCACGTATGTCATCTTACACCTGCAATTATGGTGCAGAGAAGACACCAGGAGGTGGAGAAAGATCAAACCCTGTCCTAGAAATATCTTTGCAAGAAACTACCTGGCAAGATCATCCCACCGTTACAAATGGCCACCGATGGAGTATTATGTGTACAGTTTTAGCATTGTCCTGGGTATGATGTTAAACTGCATCCGGTCCTGAAAGCAGTCCTCCAACTTGCAGGGAAAAAATTTGGGGCTTGGTAGCGGGGTTGGTACTCCA